TGATTTAGTGGAAACTTGGTTGTGGGTTGAGTTTTTATTATATAAATTTATGGCAGTGTGTTTTGGGGATTTGGGATAGTGGTTTGAGTTCCAGCGGCACAGGCGTTGAGGATTCCGTCGTGCGTGTCCAGGCGTAGTTTCTTCCAATTGGTCCTCCACACCAACATACCCTTTTGAGACAACCTATGGTTGTATTCGCATTTTTCCTTTCTCTGTGACTGTTCAGTATGCACAGCCACAAATTATGGGCATCCCAATCTGATTTCTCTATAAATTTATATAGCTGAGGGGATTCTTTTAACTTGTCCTTGTCATTGGTGAATGGAAGGATAAACTGCCTTATTAAGGTGGACTTGAAATCCTTTCATTTTTTGCTTGCAGAAGATAACACCATCTTCTTGCCCCATTGGCTAACAACATAAGCCATTTGAACAACTTCCCAAATCTGCTCCTTTATATCATTGGGCAATTCAGTCCATTTCTTGTCCACAAGAAGGACTCTGGTGCATGCCAAAACACCAATATATGATTGCATCTCAACAGCAGCCTTGCATGTGGTTTGCCCCTTTTATTGTACTCAACTACAGGTTTAATCTTTTTGATTTTCCTCTTCACAACACGACTCATTTCTTCGAGGTTTTGCTTTGAGCTGTTTTGTCTTAATTCATTTGAGCCTTTGAAACTGCAAGCTTCTTACTTTGAGATTTTGAAACTTGAGATTCCTTACTTTGAGATTTAGAAAACCATGTTTAGAGAGAAATATAACCTTCAAGTTGTTGAGGCCCAAAAAAGTCCATGGTTGGGCCCAAATAAGTTTTCGGTCAAATACGATACTGTATTAAGAAAAGTCACATATCGGAGTGCATGAAGGCTCGTCATATACAAGTAATAGTCCACGTGCCATGCTAAATAAGTAATTTGCCATGCCAAGGACTGAAATAATATTATAAAATACAAGCCCATGCTAAACTAAGCTCCGTGTCCCTCTTCAAGGACGATAAAATTGAAGCACGCCAAGTAAGGAATTATTATCCCGCACCTAATCACGCCACAAGCTTAAGTGGGTCCCAAGCCCCTCAAATACTCGGGGCTTGCTTGAGTGGGTTGTGGTATGGATGGTAATAAGTTGTCATGAGGCCCATTGATGGGCCGAGAAATGGAGGTTCCAAGTTGCTTCGGAGCCTCAGAACCCAAGCCCATTTCTTAGGCCCAAACATGTGGGTGAGCACAAAAAGGGAAGATATCTCAACCAAAATAACCCAACCAAAATAGCCCAACCAAAATGGTCCATTAAAATTAACCGATATAGCCCAAAACTTGATGAGATCAGCCCATTTGTTTGGTAGATTGACTTGCCATCTTAGAAAGCCCATACAATTAGAAGCAAGAAGCAGCAAAGGCCTCAGCATTTGGCTGAGAGACAAAGCCACAGAAGAGCTTGGAAGACCACGTGGGATGCTAAGAGGGAAGGAACAAGTTTTCAAGCAAAACATCCAAGGGACCAAAAGATATTGGCGCGCAAGGAGCCACCCTTCGAACCAGCATGTATACCAATTTCTTTCCTTCATCAGATCTGACCATGAAGGAAGAAACGAAAGAGAGGAAATGAGATATCTGAACATAGGAATTCTTCACTAGTGCAACTGGAGGAAAGGAACCTTGAGCTCCTAAAATCCCTGATTTTGTGCAAAGGAGAATAGTAGATTTCACCAAAATAGGATGATTGAAGGGATGAGGGGAGAAAGGAAGGGAAAGACTTGGCAAAATGGGATAGAAGCCATTAGGGTTTCTTGGAAAAAGATGGCTTCCAGTGGCTATAAATAGGGCCTCTTCTACCCAACAAAAACCATCTACAACCAGAGAGCTTCCTCTCTTGCCTTCAAAACCCAACAATTTTCGTGCTTAGTTCATCTCCTCCCTCCTTAGTTTTCCTTCTTGGCATGCTGTTCTAACACTTGACAGAGCCTCTATCAAGCTCCTGGAAAAAGCACTCAAGCCATCTTCTTCCCTCTTTCCCTCATTCTCAACCAAACCTCTCTACAAAACCCTTTCTCTCCTACCTTGATACTCCATCTTTCCCCTAGGAACACTTAATTTTCTCTTTAGTGCTAAACTCATGGCAACTTTGCTCCCATGCCACAAGCCTCTCATGCCAAGCTAAGATTCTACTTGTAAGCATAAAGAATTTATCTGTAAGCAGCCATTATTTTTGTTGGTGAAGGTAACCAAGGTGTTTCCTAAGGCTTTACTATCCTTTCGAAATATTTTGGGGTCTGATCTTTGAACTTAGACACAGGGACATTTTCTTCAGTTTGCTCCTTACGGCAGCCCAACCCATTTGTAGCTGCCAGAAGAAAAAAGCCCATACACAAGTGAAAAACACGACGTAATATTACATTTCACATGTCGATAGATATTTCAAGAGCTATTTCAATGTCTAACTAGGCCCATTAACTTAGGCCCAACCACCAAGAGCTATTTCAATGTCTAAAAGGCCCAATTGATGCCTCAGCGGCCCAGGCCCTTCGGACAGAAGCCAGTCACGAACACTGAATAACGCATGGTCAACCATCACTTCAAACAAAAGTGATTAAGACTACAGTGCCCAACGCTACAATACATCATTTGGGGCAGAATTGTGTCTGATGCTTCAGTTCCACTTTGGACAGAAAGTGTCCGAACTTACAGTAAAAGATGGTTCATTTGTCATGATATGTCTTATCCAAGGAATAACAAACAATCCAAATTGACCTGACGAATGAAATTCAGCTAATTTGCATTGGATATGTGAAGGAAACATGCATCTAATGCTTAGGAAATGAACTTTAGCCACAACCTATACAACAAAAATATTCTAAATGGCGGATTCATTTTGTTTATACGAGTTGAGCTAAATCTTTTTCATTTAAACCAAGTATCTTAACCTAGTCTCTTACCCTTGATGATCTTTACCCTTGATGACCTTTTCTTGATTTCTCAAGAATGAACACCTTTGTTGGAAAGGCCTTTTGTTTCTCTTGATTTTGACTCATTCACCTTAAGGCTCCAAGATTGGAGTCCTCTACCTCACCACACCAAATGCTCCTAGAGATGAAGAGAAGGCAATCAAGAAGTATGGATGCTAGTCTACTTCTTGATTGGACCAATTTTTGGTTTATGGAAGATGAGATACAAAGATGATCACTCATCAACCAAAGTAGAAAACCGAAAACCCTTGGCTAGGTTTTCTTCAAAATTTACTTTATATAGGACAACACAAAAGGCAAGGCAAATTTGGGTGGGTATTTGGGGCTCCATTTGGTCCATGGGTCATGTCATCTTATGCCACTTATCCCTTGGGCCCAATAGCCTTTTGGGCTATTTTGTCCCTTTCTTTTTAAATCATATTTAAAAGCTCAATCCAATATTTCTATATATCAATATTAATTCCATAATTAATCTTTTAATTATAATTATAGTCTTACTTAATTGATCCAGTCGAACTATTTGACTTTGGTCAATTGCTCCGGTCAACATGTTGACTTTGGACCATTGACTTTGACATTTGATTATCAACCATTGACTTGTATCTCCTCGTTTCATTTCTCCTCATTTGTACCTCTAATCACATTCTTTGGGTGTGCAGATCTGTAAGTTCCCTTTAGCAAAGTAGTAGGTTGACTCAACTCCTCAAAGATGATATACGAATTAAATTCCACAATTAAATTCTTCCTATTAATAAAGGTTAATTGAAACCTTTTAGGAAATCCACAAACCGTGGTTGTCGCCTAGCAGCAACTCACGGTTATCCGAGCTAAATGAGACGTTGTGGAAGAACCTATTCAAATTGGAATAACCCTGCAATTGAATCCTTCTCTTACGTCAATACTCATTATTTACATTATTAGATCATGGAATCCGATTGTCAATATCCTAATGTGAATCATTTATTTTATATGATTATCCTGGTAAGATTTGAAGACTTCTTCTTTGAAGTCTTATCCACTACTTTGTGCAGAGATTTGACCAATCATATCTTGGAGAATTCTTTCTCCTTTACTGAGAGTAGAGATTCCTTGTTGTAAGTTCATTTGCTTCCATAACTCTATTGAGAATCCTAATGAGCACCTTTAGGCTATGCCTATTCAGCATGACCATATAGTGCTCTCAAAGATTAACAACATAGCCATAAAACATCTATGATGCCTCAGGTCTAAAAATTAGTGTGCACCATTGCAATTTATGAGTTCCACCTTGACATGTGAGTAAAGACTTCCATGTTGTAACTCATGTGTTGGATTGTGTTCAGTATACTTGTTCTTCTACAAGCAGATACACACATATCGATGTGTCTCCACAGTTAATAACTTGAGACCTTGCTATTCTCTACATGTAGAGACGATACGGTGTATACTGGTCTTTGCGGAATATTGATGCCTAATCAATATTCCTATGACCAGGAACATATTCAGGATTTAGGGATGATGAGAAGTCTCCATGTATGCAATCTCATTACATAGCTCTCGTATCCACTTGTGTATTCCTTGGACTATTGGCTGTTCTACGTATTGAAAGATAATATAGGATGATTTAATGTATAAAACAACCTTTCTTGCCCATTGATAACATAATATGTCTTTTATGAAAGATGCCCTTAACTCTAACTATTACATAATTAGTTGGCTTTCAGGGCATATTTCTAACAATCTCCCACTTGCACATTAAAGCCAATCTGACATGTATCTAATACCCATCTTCTCCATGTGTCGGTCTAGTTGAAGCTGACTCATAGTCTTTGTGAGTGGATCTGCTATGTTGTCTGTTTAAGCCATCTTGAGCACACTAATATCTCCATCAGCAAAATATTCCTTGACTAAGTGATAGCGCCTCTGAATGTGCTTGGATCTTTGTTGATACCTTGGGTCCTTGGCTTGTGTTATAGCCCCATTGTTGTTAGAGTATAAAATGACTGGTGACTCAATGCTTGGGACCACTCCAAGTTCAGTAATGAACTTCCTCATTTAGATCACTTCCTTTTTTGCTTCAGAAGCAACTATGTACTCTACTTCAGTTGTGGAGTCCGCAGTGGTGCTCTGCCTGTAACATCTCCAACTGATTGCCCCACCATTTAATGTGAACACATATTTAGAAGTGGATTTTCGATCATGAACATAAGATTCAAAATATGAGTCTGTGTATCCTTCCACCAGTAATTCTGGGTTTCCTCCATAGACTAGGAACATATCCTTTGTTCTTCTGAGGTACTTTAACACAGTCTTTACAGCACTCCAATGTTTTGATCCTGGGTTTGATTGATATCTGCTTGTGATGCTCACAGCATAGTTGATATAAGGCCTCGTACACAGCATGGCATACATTAGGCTCCCAATTGCAAAGGCATATAAGATCCTGCTAATCCATATAACTGCTTTTGGGGTTTTAGGGCACATGCTCTTAACAGGTGAATATCATGTCTGACTGGTAGAAAACCCTTCTTGGAATGCTCCATTTGGAATCTTCCGAGCACCTTGTCCACATATAGGGATTGAGATAATCCAATTAGTTTTCTTGTTCTATCCCTATAGATCTTGATACCCAGTACGTAAGATGCATTTCCCAGATCCTTCATTGAGAAGGTCTTTGATAACCATAGTTTCACAGAGGTGAACATGCCTATGTCGTTTCCAAACATTAATATGTCATCAACATATAGTACGAGGAATACGATTGCGCTCCCATTGTTTTTCTTGTACACACAAAGTTCATCTTCATTTTGGCGAAAACCATAAGCTTTAATAGCTTCATCAAAACGAATGTTCCAACTCCTTGAACCCTACTTCAGTCCATAGATGGACCTTTAAAGTTTGCATACTTTCTTCTCTTCATGTTTAGATATGAATCCTTCAGGTTGATCCATGTAGATTTCTTCTTGAAGGTGGCCATTCAGAAAAGCCGTTTTCACATCCATCCGCCATATCTCATAGTCATAATATGCTGCTATGGCAAGAAGTATGCGGATGGATTTTATCATTGCTACATGAGAGAAAGTTTATTCATAGTCAATTCCCTCTCTATGTCTGTAGCCTTTAGTTACTAATCTAGCTTTATAGGTCTCCACCTTGACATCTAAGCATTTCTTCCTCTTGAAGATACATTTGTTTCCTATTGGTACAATACCTTCGTGAGGGTCAACCAGAGTCCAAACTTGGTTGGCATACATAGAATCCATCTCAAACTTCATGGCTTCCTGCCATTTCTTTGAGTCAATGTCCAATATTGCCTTAGTGTAAGATTCAGGATCTTCCATGTCATCTCCCATGAGAATCCATCTCAGACTTCATGGCTTTACTGATCCTTTCAAACCTACGTGGAGTTTGGGTGAGTGTGGGTAAAGGGACTAGATTGTCAACTGGATCAGACTCTACTTCAAGTTCATGAGGCTCTCTAGACTTTTCCTTGAGCTTAACCTTTTGGACATAGGTGCCATCCAATGCAAAATCAATCTTGAGAAATCTTGCAGATCTTGCAACAAACACATTTTGTTTGTTTGGATGGTAGAAGTAGTATCCTAAAGTTTCCTTTAGATATCTATTGAATCTACACATTTCTGATCTAGCGTCTAGCTTTTCAATATCATGCTTCTTGACATAAGCTGGACAACCCCATATCTTAAGATGATTCAGACTTGGCTTCCTCCCAAACCACATTTCATATGTTGTTCTGGGCACAGATTTGGAAGGTACTCTGTTTAGCAGGTATGTTGCAGTTTGAAGTGCATATCCCCAAAACGATACTAGCAAGTCAATATAACTCATCATTGATTGGACCATATCCATCAATGTTCGGTTTCTCCTTTCGTAGACACCATTAAGTTGTGGAGTTTCAGGTGGAGTCCACTAAGATAGGATGAAATGTTTCTTGAGATATTCAAGAAACTCAGTATTCAAGTATTCTCCTCCTCGATCTGATCTTATAATTTTGATACTCTTTCCTGTTTGCTTTTCAACTTCGTTCTTGAATTCTTTGAACTTTTCAAAGGTCTTGGACTTGTAATTTATTAGGTATGCATAGCCCAATCAAGAGTAATCATCGGTGAACGTAATGAAGTAAGAAAAGCCACCCCTTGATGTAGTGGACAATGGCCCACATACATCATTGTGGATTAATTCAAGAAGCTCAATAACTCTTTCCCCTTTTCTTGAAAAAGGCAAGTTTGACATTTTGCCTTGAAGACAGGATTCGCAGGTGGGCATAGGGACTGAACCCAAAGGTTCAAGGTATCCTTGTTTGACCATCCTTTGGATCATATCTTAGCCAATGTGTCCTAACTTTAGGTGCTAAACTTGAGTCGGATTGAGTTCTTTTCTAGGCCTCTTAGGTCCTGGCATCTCAATCAAGCTGTTGTTATTTTCCACTATTTGAATTTGGTAGAGACCATCAATCATAATACATTTACATATGATTCGATTGCCTTGTTGTAAAGAGCATCCCATTATATTGAATGTGACAATGTAATCTTCATTCAGCAATGCTTAAACAGATACTAGGTTCTTTAAGCAAACTTAGAAGATAAAGACATTCTTTAAGTTCAAGTGTCTCCCCATGTGGTAGCTTAAGGTGGAAAGTGCCTACTGCTTTTGTAGATATTTGGGTACCATTACTGACACGTAGCACTATTTCCCATTTTGACAACTTCCTATGATCTGCTAGACCTTACAATGTATTGCAAACGTGTCTGCTAGGTCCTGAATCCATTATCCAGGTGGAAGTTTCAACTGCCATTACTAACTCAAGGACAAAATTGCTCTCTTCATAGGTTTTGTTCCTTGTGCATGAAAGATGTACATTACATCTCTTCTTCCTTTTAGCCTCCTTATTGTCACGGGATGACTTTTTCGGAGTCTTCCTTTCGTGCGGCCTTAGACTTGATCGCCTCTCGAACAAGCTAAGTCAGCCTCCTTCCTACAACACAAGATCGAAACAAGCAAAGAACAATCGCAAGAGCAAGAACAGTACGAATGCTTAACAGAGTTTGGGAGAATATATGCTTGTATTGCTACTCAAATGCTTTACAAGTTGTGAGGTGAGGATACACAATGTGTCATCCCCCTTATATACTGTCCCTATCCCACCTACCACCACAGTAGGTGGCTAAGATACAATGTCACCTACCAATGTCTACCAACTACTGTCACCAACTGTAGTCTACCAACTATTGTCACCAACTGTAGTCTACCAACTACTATACAACGAATCTGGACATGTGGGCTAAGAGGTCTAGCATGATCAATCCAACGGGTTGGGCCTTGAACATGCGGGCCGTGACATTCTCCCCCACCTAATCCGGAGACGTCCTCGTCGCCGCGGTAGATCCTTCTCGTTCGAATGCTTCGATGATGTCTTTGTACTTCCACAAAGACTCTTCTTTCTCCCAGTTGCCTTCGGAATCTGGCAGGCCCTTCCATTTGACAAAGTACTCAAAGTACCTCGGTACACCCTTGCGTCGCACTTCTCGCTTGGCCATGATGCACTCAACCTCCTTGTCAAATGAAGTCACCATCAAAGGTGGAGCTCGTTGAGACTCTCCACGACTTGGCTCCTCGGGGTCGGCATGGTAGGGCTTGAGATTGCTCACGTGGAACACCGGATGAATCTTCAATCGGGGTGGTAGTTCCACACGGTAAGCAGCTCTTCCCACTGATCGGATGATAGGAAATGGGCCCTCATATCTCCTCAACAACGCCTTGTGTAACTTTCTAGTGGACTTGTGTTGAGAGGGGTTGAGCTTCACAAAGACCATATCACCTGGTTGGAACACAACATCTCGCCTATGCTTGTCCGCCCATTTCTTCATCTTCCGAGTTGCCTTCTCCAATTGAGCCCGAGCCAGCTCATTAGTCACCTGCCACTCCTTGGCTGTCTTGTATGCAGCTGGGCTACTCCCCGTGTAGCCTGACACCACTGTGTTCGGTGTCATAGGTTGTTGTCCTGTTGCCAACTCAAAAGGACTTGACCCTGTTGACTCCGACCGCTGCAAGTTGTATGAGAATTGAGCAACATCCAACAACTTTGCCCAATCTCGCTGGTTGGCACTCACATAATGCCTCAAGTATAGCTCCAACAATGCGTTCACCCGTTCCGTCTGACCATCTGTCTGTGGGTGAAAGCTGGTAGAGAAGTTCAATTGTGACCCAAGTAGCCTGAAGAGCTCCGTCCAAAGTTTACCAGTAAAGCGAGTGTCGCGGTCACTGATAATACTCTTGGGAATTCCCCAATACTTCACCACATGCTTCATAAACAAGCGTGCAGCTTCCTCCGCATTGCAGTCCGCTGGTGCGGGGATGAAGGTAGCATACTTGGTGAACCTGTCGACCACCACCAAAATTGAGCCACACCCTTCTGACTTGGGTAGACTCACAATAAAGTCCATGGACAAACTCTCCCATGGTCTGGCTGGAACAGGAAGTGGCTCTAGCAACCCACCCGGTTGCTTCTGCAATGTCTTGTCTTGTTGGCATACAAGACAAGTCCGCACGAACGAGTCTACATCCTCCCGCATCTGTGGCCAATAGTAAGCTTCACTCATCAAGGCTAACGTCCGATGAGTGCTTGGATGTCCCGCCCACTTCGAGTCATGACACTCCTTCAGTAGCTCTCGCCTTAGATTGTCCCACCTTGGAACATAGATCCTCTTCCCTGTTGCATAAAGAACACCATCATCGAGCCAAAATCTCCTTGTCTTCCCATCTTTGACAAGCTCCAACAGACTTTTGGCTTGGGGATCATGCAACAAGCCCTCTCGTATCCTCTGCATGAGAGAACTCTGGGGTTGTACAACAGCTGCAAGTGCGGCCTTCCTGCTTAGGGCATCAGCAACGACATTTGTCTTCCCTTGCTTGTACTCCAGTTTGTAGTCGAACTCCGCCAAGAAGTCTTGCCACCTAGCCTGCTTGGGTGACAACTTCTGTTGAGACTGAAAGTAGCTTGTGGCAACATTGTCAGTCTTGACCACGAACTGAGAACCCAGCAAGTAGTGCCTCCAAGTCCGCAAGCAATGCACTACGGCTGTCATCTCCTTCTCTTGAACGGTATACCTCCGCTCCGTGTCATTGAGCTTCCGACTCTCGAAAGCCAATGGGTGTCCATCCTGCATGAGTACACCACCAATAGCAAAATCTGATGCATCAGTGTGTACCTCAAACGGTTTGCTAAGATCAGGAAGTCTCAGCACGGGTTCCTCCATAAGTGCCCTCTTCAACTCATCGAAGGCATGCTGGCATCGGGTTGTCCACTCCCACGCCTTGTTCTTCTTAAGCAAATCCGTCAAGGGGGCGGCAATGGCTGAATATCCCTTGATGAACCTGCGATAGTAGTTGACCAACCCAAGGAAAGACCGCAACTCAGGTACCTTGGTTGGTGGCTCCCATTCTTGAATGGCTCGCACCTTGCCCTCCTCCATGAGCAATTGACCTCCCCGTATCTTGTGACCAAGGAACTCTACCTCTTCTTGGACAAATGAGCACTTCTCCCTCTTCACATACAGCTCGTTCTCCCTCAGAACTTGGAAGACTTTCTGCAAGTGCTCAAGATGCTCCTCTAGGGAATTGCTGTACACCACAATATCATCGATGTAAACCACAACAAACTTGTCCAAGAAAGGATGGAATACCTTGTTCATAAGAGTGCAAAAGGTTGCAGGGGCGTTAGTCAAGCCAAACGGCATGACAAGGAACTCGTAAGACCCATATCTCGTCACACATGCGGTCTTTGGTTCATCTCCCGGTGCGATCCTCACTTGATAGTATCCTGAGCGCAGGTCCAACTTGGTGAAGTACCTAGCTCCTCCCAACTGATCAAACAAATCTGCAATCAAAGGGATTGGATACTTGTTTTTGATGGTCACCTTGTTTAGCGCCCTATAGTCGATGCACAACCTCAGCGTTCCCTCCCTCTTCTTCTGGAAAAGAACTGGGGCACCATAAGGGGCCTTGGACGGTTGGATGTACCCAGCGTCCAACAACTGCTTTAACTGCTTCCTCAATTCCTCCAACTCAGGAGGTGCCATCCGGTACGGCGCCTTGGCAGGGGGTTTGGCACCTGGTTCCAACTCAATGGCATGATCCACCTCTCTCCTAGGTGGTAAGGTTTTGGGCAACTCCTTGGGCATGACATCTGCAAACTCCTTAAGGATTGCCTCCACAGCTTTCGGGACGGGTTGGACTTCCTTCTGAACTACATCCATCTTCATAGTTGCAAGGAACGTCGGTTCGCCCTTCTTCCAAGACTTGGAAAATTGCATGGCTGACAAGAGCTTCGTCTCGCCTTGTTGCCTCACCACTGGCACCATGCATGGCATTGCTCCACCCTGTGCAATGCACATAGTATTGTAAAATGGAATGGGGAATGCCTTTACCTTGTCCATGAACTCCATTCCAAGCACGACATCGTAGTCATCCATTGAGATCACGGAGAAGTCAGCTACTCCCTTCCAAGTGGCAATGTGTAGCTCCACACCATGAGCTACTCCATCAATCGGTTTGGCAGTTGAATTCACCGTCTTCATACTGCCTGCTTCCTTCGAGACTCGACACCCAAGTCTCTTTGCTTCCTGCACGGACATAAAGTTGTGCGAGGCACCTGTATCCACCAGGCAACGGGTTGTCTTACCATTCACCATGGCATCGACGAACATCACACCTTTGGCTTGAACCTGTGGTTGAGCTCCTTTGGCCTGTAGGGCATTGAAGCGGTGAATGGCCCCCATTCCTGCTTCCCTCTCGGCCTCCTCTTCCTTCTCTCGGTTCATGGCATTCAAGGCTTTCTTTTGCGGACAATCCCGCATCATGTGCGCTCCATCGCACAAGTAGCAAGCTAGCTTCGACTTGTCTTTCCCCTTGTCACCTTTGTCATTCTTCCTCCCGAATGACTTGTGACCGTCAGACTTGTCCCCAGCCTTGCTACCCTCTTTTGGCTTGTTGTCTCCCCCACCGGATCCACTGCTATCTTTCTTTCCTTTGAACTTGGAGTCGCCTTGATCCTTCTTCTTGAACTCAACAAGAGACTCAGCTGCAGCAATCGCCTCTGACAAGGTTTGGACATGTCTCCTTTGTAACTCCAGCTTGGCCCAATTCTGTAGGCCACTCATGAAGTACATGAGCTTGTCTTCATCCGTCATGCTAGGCACCTCGAACAAAAGGTTGGTGAACATGGCGACATAGTCCTTCACGTTCCCAGTTTGCTTTAGCCATCTCAGCTTCTCCTTTGCCTCATACTTGGCATTCTCTGGATAGAAATGCAACATAATATCCTTCTTAAAATCATCCCAAGTCTCAAGTGTAAACGTACCTTGTTCGATCTCCATAGATCGACGACGCCACCACATGAGAGCATTGTCGGTGAGAAACAACGTTGCCGTGTTGATCTTGGGCTCATCATCCTCGAGCTTCAGATACTTGAAATACCTTTCGATATTCCACAGAAATGTGTCTAGCTCCTTCGCCTCCCTCTTCCCATTATAGGATTTGGGCTTGAAAGAATCTAACACCTTGGGTTCCTTCGGAGTCGGGTCTTGTTCAAGACAGCTTCCTTGCACAAAGCCCAATCTCCCTTCACATCCTTCACCTCCTCACGAAGCGATGTAAGCTCCGCTAAGAAGTGATCCATCTTGGTTTGGACATCTAGCCGCATGCTGTCCAGTGCGGAGTTGAGGGCTCCTTGGAATTGGCCTTGAAGCTCATCCACCACAGCTTCGAAGCCACCCTTCGTAAGGACGTCCTCCTCGAGTCGCTGATCGAACTCGACCACGGCAATCTCCATCTTAGAAAGCCGCTTCTCCATCATGGCTACAACATCTCTAGATCGTTCCCTCTTTGATTTGCCCCCACGATCCATATTGACCTTGGACAGATCAGTCTCCACATCGGATCCGCTCTTCGACATGCTTCTTCGAATGATTCGAGCTTTCGCTCTGATACCAACTGTCACGGGATGACTTTTTCGGAGTCTTCCTTTCGTGCGGCCTTAGACTTGATCGCCTCTCGAACAAGCTAAGTCAGCCTCCTTCCTACAACACAAGATCGAAACAAGCAAAGAACAATCGCAAGAGCAAGAACAGTAAGAATGCTTAACAGAGTTTGGGAGAATATATGCTTGTATTGCTACTCAAATGCTTTACAAGTTGTGAGGTGAGGATACACAATGTGTCATCCCCCTTATATACTGTCCCTATCCCACCTACCACCACAGTAGGTGGCTAAGATACAATGTCACCTACCAATGTCTACCAACTACTGTCACCAACTGTAGTCTACCAACTATTGTCACCAACTGTAGTCTACCAACTACTATACAACGAATCTGGACATGTGGGCTAAGAGGTCTAGCATGATCAATCCAACGGGTTGGGCCTTGAACATGCGGGTTTAGGGTTCAGGGTTTAGGGTTTAGGGTTTAGCAATGTAAGCTCCGCTAAGAAGTGATCCATCTACTCATTCACATCATGATATGAGTTCCCATATAATTTGGCCTCTAGCAAATGTATACCCCCAAATATTATCGTGAGGCATCATTGTACTAGTTAAGTATTAGCCCACCATTATGGCAAAGTATATAGTGATACAATCATGAACCTCATCATAATAGAATGTTGGTCCATGTTTGAGCCTATCCTTGCAACATCCAATGTATAAATGAATTCTTCCTAAGCAAGAACCTCTTGCTGTCAGCCCCCATATGTGAGCCAAAACCTTCACAAGGGTCAAGCCTATTTGGAATTCACCATGGTGGAAGGCCACAACTAGGCTTGCAAAAAGTCTATTGTTTTTCTACTTAATTTAGTTAATTGAGGGTTTTAAGGTCTCATCATAAACATGCTTAATCCAATTAAACTACTTGGTCTAGGACAACTATTATTCTAAATCATATTAGTAGTTGTACGATACTCCCACTATTTGTTTTGCAAATCAAATCAATTTCATAAAACTCTTTTATTTGAGATTTGGGAATATGCACTACTACTAACAAAAGCCATTGCATTTCCTTAAGTTTAGATAAATAGTCATCTAAAGGCTTATGGATGATTATGGACTTGATTTAAATACCACGTCGTTTGAGATTTTCATTTAAGGACATTTTAATTTTTTCTGTTCAACTTTCATTTACAAAAAACTTTGCTTATTCGATGTTTTTCCTCCTTACCGAAGTTAGAATGTTACACAACGACAGTAGTTTCATACCGCCATTTGAAATAAAATACTACGTCACTTTTTAAAAAATTCCGTCATCTTCACTAATTTACCACGATGGTTTATATTTTTTATTTAGATTTTTAGTTTTGTCATTAACACTTTTTGTTTTCTTGAAACAGTTCAATCAAAATGTATAACTCTCACGTAGGCAAACAATCATCATGTAAATCAGTAATATGGAAAAATCTACATGGCACTCCTCGACAACCAACAAATGTAGAGTGTGGCTATTACGTGATGTGTTTCATGAGAGATAATGATCCAGGCCTAGCATTTGAGAAGAAGGTAAAACACAAAATTTAAGATATAATTTCTTTATTTACAACGACTTTTTCTTGAACAACCGTCGTTTGTTTACAGATAAAATGACGGTTTTGTTATTAACCATCGTTTTATCTTTATAACACGTCGGTTTTGTCATTTATTTTGCAGTTTGACAAGAAAAAGAACCAGTTCAGTATGTACAAGAACATATTGACGAAGTCAGGCTGAAATGAGCTGAATTTGTTAACAAGCAATTACAGAATAATAAATGATATTTTAACAATGTTTAGGTTTATTTTAATTTATTAACAGTGTACATAATTTTTTTTGGTTGTAATTAATTGAACAATCATCAAATAAAATTAATTTTTTTTATTTTTATTTTTTGTTTAGGATATTTATGTCTTTGCATGAATTAAAATATCAGTAATTCATAAAAACTAAATTTAATTCCCAAAAACCGACGTCTCATTCTTATTTACACGTCTCATATGTATAAACAACCGCCGTCTTATTATAGCGAGAAATAAAACATCGACGGCAAATTTTAAAAACGCCATGTGACTGAAATAAGCACGACAGTTTATATATAAAACTGAAGTCTACATTTACGTTCATCAAGTACGAAATTTTTTTGTACATATATACTACGTTCGTTAGTACAAACATTTCGATGTCTTAAACACATACAACGGCAGGTAGCTTATAAAATTTGATATTGTATATATAACCAACAGCAGCAACTACGTTAGAAAGAACGTTGTAAATGTAACCCACGTCGGTTATTCAGAACAAATTGACGTTGTAACCTATGAACCATCGGTGCGTGAATGTTCGACGTCTAATATGATCTAGGACGACAATCGATGTTGTTTAACGTCGTTGTAAATAGATGCAAGTCGGTTATGTACATTTGTCATTTCATTTTAATATGACTTTTATATTTTATTTAATTCCTAATATTCATAATAAATTCAAAACAAATTCCAAAAAATAAACTAACAACTACCATGCACTCATTGAAAGATTGTCTCTCCCCTAAAGCTTTAAAAAAAAAATGTAATTTTAAAAATATTTTTTTTTGTATTTAATTACTAATATTGATAATATATTCAAAAAAAAATTTGAAAAATAAACCGACAAATTCTATGCACTCATTGAGACAATATCTTCCCCCTAAAGGCCTGAAAAATGTAATTTTAGTTTTCAAAAGTACAAGTGATAAAAAAAAAGTCAAAAAAATTTAGAGACAAAGCACAATAGTCCTTATACTTTTCATAACATAACTCTATGGTTTATGTGATCCATTGGTGGCCATAAATTCAAAATTATGAAATCCAGATTTTAGCCTACTAATATAGAAGGCATTGTTGTAAGGACTCCGTAGCAATTTTCGGTTCATTTTTCTCATACTTATGTATTTTTTTATAATTATTGTAAAATTTAGGGTTTAGGGTTTAGGATATATTGAAACGACGCTGGTTTTTTCTCTTTGTTTTTGGTCAATTACGCGCTTTTGAATCCCAGGATACCCAAAGCCCATCTAATTATTTAATATTTAAGACATCAGTTTTGTCAAGGAGCGACGTGAAAAAAATTTACTATGCGTTTCCTTTTATGTGTCGATGTAGTTAAATTTACAACATTGTCTAGTTCCATAAAATGTCATCGTAAGTGAATAGTAAATGTCGGTCGTGATGTATTTACCGTCGTCTTTAAAAAACGTGGTCCTTTGAAATTTTTGACCGCGATCTAAAATTTTCAGAATTTCCTTTAACCCTAAAATATTTCGTTCTCTCTCTTCAACATAAATTTATCTTAAAGTTTTCGCTCTCTCTCAAAGCATTGGGTATATTCTCTGAGCTCTCTCTCAAGCATTGGCTATATTCTCTCAACTCTCTCTCAATATCCATGTAAGTACAAACCCTAATCTCTATATTTAATGATATTGCACGGCTTCTTAAATCCATAAATGTTTTCGTTGGTTTTGGTAGCTTTGGGTTCTTAATATAGGTTTTGGGAGCTAAGGGTTCTCAATTGGGAGCTATATACGGGTTCTGAATATATGTTTGGGAGCTATGGGTTCTTCATTTATGTTTTAGTGTTTGCATCTTGTAATAATAACTCTCTATTATGGTTTCTTATATGTTTCTTTGGCCATGGGTTCTTGGAAAAGCAATGGGAATGGGAGATTTAGACTGCGGCTTTTTGTAAACCACGATGGCGGTTGATGGATCAAACCGTCGTCTAAATTTTTATTATATGTCGGTTGTTCATTTACTCCCGTCATCTGAATTTTAGTTTCTATTTGGTAACCTAAAGACGACTGTTTCTCCATTAACCGTCGTATTTAGGCCACCATAACCCAATACGTTGTTCTTCAAAAAGCAATACAAATTTCTTGGTTTGGGTAGCTTAAAGATGACGGTAATTAGAGATGTTGTCGTCAGAAATTCTATTACACGATGATTATTTTGTAAAAACCGGCATCTGATTCTTGTTTTATTTTTTATTTTCAATTTATTCTCTGCTATGTGAATATATAGTGTTTCATTGCTGGTCTTTCACTTTATTATATATATGATTTTATAGTGTGTGAGATGGATAAGTCATGGATGCATGCGGATAGAAGATCGAAGGCATATGAGTTAGGGGTGGAAGAATTTTGATTGTTTGAAGTTGGAATTATAAGGGACCACTTATACTTTAATGGAATTTACCAAAGCTATAAGATTTGGACATGGGATGGAGAACCTTGGGAATGGACTACTAATGCTAGTAGAAATGTGGAAGAAGATGAGCAAAGTAGGTTCAGTTTTGTTTATGAAGAATTAGGGATGGATGATAATGATTTAGGCGATATTGGATCTGATCCTTATGAGTTTGCCAACATGATTGGGGATGGAGATCAACTCTTGTACCCTGGTTGCAGTAAGTACACGAAGTTGTCGGCTTTGGTGAAGTTATATAATGTGAAAGCAAAACATGGGAATGAGTGATGTCTGTTTTACAGAATTATTGATACTTCAAGGAGATTTGCTTCCAGAAGGAAATACACTACCTTCCTCCATGTACGAGGCAAAAAAGACTTTGTCTGCTTTAGGGATGAGTTATGAGAAAATCCACGCATGTCCCAATGACTGCATCTTGTATAGGAAGGATTATGAAGATTCAACTAATTGTCCTACTTGTGGTATCTCAAGGTGGAAGGAAGGCAAAGATTCAATCTTGAAAGAGGGTGTGCCAGCGAAGGTGGCGTGATATTTTTCACCAATTCCAAGGTTTAAAAGGATGTTTCAATGACATAAGACAACTAAGAGTTTGACTTGGCATGCTGCTAGAAAATCAATTGACGGTCATATGTCTCATCCAACGGATTCCCCGTCTTGGAAACTTGTTGATGATAAATGGCCCGAGTTCGGTAAAGAGCCGAGAAACTTAAGATTGGCTCTCTCATCTGATGGATTCAATCCCCACAGTTCTTTAAGTAGCAAATACAGTTGTTGGCCAGTTATCTCAGTTACATATAATCTCCCACCATGGCTATGTATGAAACGGAAGTTCATGATGTTGACCTTATTGATTTCTGATCCTAAACAGCCCAGAAATGATATAGACGTCTACTTAGAGCCTTTGATTGATGATTTAAAATCTCTGTGGGATGAGATTAGAGGAGTGTATGATGCACACATAGGAGAATACTTCACACTCAAAGGTGTATTACTGTGGACAATTAATGATTTTCCTGCATATGAGAACTTATTTGGTTGTGTCGTTAAATGATATAAAGCTTGTCGAATATGCAGCGATGATACACCTAGTCACAGGTTGAAAAATGGCCACAAAATTTGTTACATTGGGCATAGAAAATGGTTACCAACATATCATCCATATCGGAGGCAGCGTGCAGCTTTGAATAAGAAACCTGAATATGGCACACCTCCCGAGTCATTAACCAGAGAAGAAGTGTTGCAGATGGTTGAAGTTATTAATTACATATGGGGCTGGAAAATGGGGGGAAGTGTTGGTGAGAATGATGGTGACAGAGTTTGTTGGAAGAAGAAATCAAAATTCTTTGATCTCGAGTATTAGAAATACCTTTTTGCAAGGCATGTCCTAGATGTTATGCACATTGAGAAGAATCATTGGTACATTGGTACATTGCTGGAGATCCCTGGAAAAAATAAAGATGAGATTGCTGCTCGGTTAGATTTATTGAACATGGAGGTCAAAACTAATTTGCAAGAGCAGAGAAGAGAGTGGTTTGCAATTCTTTCTATGGTATGAAGGTCCCTTGAAGGTTATTGTTCAAATATAAAAAATCTTGTATCTTTAAAAGATTCAAGACTTCTTGGCCTTAAATCTCATGATTGTCATACATTGATGCAACAATTGCTCCCTTGTGGCAATTCGTTCTGTTTTGGAGAAGCCTGCGAGGTATGCAATAACTCGATTGTACTTATTCTTCAATGCTATATGTGCAAAGACGGTAGATGTTTCCAAGCTAGATAAGTTGGAAGAAGATGTAGTAGTTACTTTGTGTTTGCTTGAGAAGTACTTTTCCCCCTTTATGTTTGATATCATGGTTCATCTACTAGTACATCTTGTCAGAGAAGTTTGTCTATGTGGGCCAGTATATTTTAGACGGATGTGTCCGTTTAAAAGATATGTGAAAGTGCTAAAGGGGTATGTTCAAAACCGTACTCGTCCCGAAGGTTGCATTGTAGAGCAGTAAATTGCTGAAGAAGCTTTAGAGTTTTGCACCGAGCATTTATCTGATGTTAGTACAGTTGGAGTGCCATCAAGCCAAATGATGGGTGTTTCAAAGCCATCTTAGTTGATCGGGACTTGTTGAACCAAACACATCTATATGTCTTGGAGAATACGGAGGAAGTCTTACCTTATATCTAGTACGTATGAGTTTTATTTTTCATATGTAGTCATTTTAAATATTATTATTCCTTATGTTTATCTTATATACAAGGGACCGTAATGCTTGATTTTTTTCGTGTTGATGTAGGGAACATATGATCCACATCTAGACCACTTATCCAAAATCTAGAAAGAGAACAAAGTGGCTGCAAGATAAGCACAATACACTTTTATTCAATGGCTACACTTTAAGGTATATATGTTATTGAATGACATATTGAACTTTTAATTTTCTTTCTTTTTATATGTTAGATTGAATTAAGATATATGATTAATTTGCACGTTCAAAGTGAACTTATGAGGAAGAGAATAATGGCGTATCAGAAAATTTGAGATGGCTAGCAGCTAGTCCAAGCATGGCAATGACATCATATAGGAACTATCTTATTAATGGTGTTAAATTTAACACCAAGGCACAAGATGATGTGAAAACTGTCCAAAATAGTGAAGTTTATTTACTTGCACACATTATGCAAGTTGCTAGTGCCAAGGATAAAAACCATATTGTCTCCAATATGGGTTTTTGTGGTGTTATTCAAGAAATTTGGGACCTTGACTACCAAAAGTTTAGAATCCCAGTCTTGAGGTGTGATTGGATAGATAAAACTTCGGGCCTTGTAGTCGGCGGACTTGGATTTACCCTCGTAGTGAGTAAAATTGGACATAGGAATGACCAATTTGTTATGGCTTCTCAAGTCAAACAAGTATTTTATGTTGATGACCCAATGCATCGTGGTTGGTCAGTAGTGTTATCAATGCCTAATAGAGAATAGAATGATGTTATTGGTGATGATGAGCTAGGTGATATTAGAATGAGTGTGAACTATTTATTAGAGGGATACCAAATGTTGACACATTTGATGACCTAGTGGGTGAGTTTGGGAGTGAAAATATTAGAGATGGGTGTGAAGATATATGGATTGATTGATTGTTGTAATGTGTGACATTAGTTATGCAGTTAATTGTATGACATTAATTAATAGCTCTGTATATCATTTTAATTATGATCACATTTTCATTATGTAGGCTTTGGGCATGACAAATCAAAATTTTAAAATATTGGATTAAAGGTGTAAAATACGACAATCTAGTAAAAAAATTGCAAAAAGAGACGTCGTCTAAAATAAAACCAACGTTGTATTTTACAAACGTCGTGGAAAGAAATGCAAAAGACCGTAAAGAAATAAAAACCACCTTTTGAAAACAAAAACATGTCGGTTTATTAAAATTAAATTACAAGCGGCTAATAGTTATAAACATCAACGACGGTCTATAGAATAACGCACGTCGTATATTTCATAAATAATATGACGGTGGTGTACTCCAACAGACGAATTTGGTAAACACTACTTCCACTATTAAAATCTACAGTTGTCTAAAGATGGAAATAAAAGCAACTCAGTTCCATTAACTGTCGTGACAGCTCTTTTGCACATCGGTTAGTCTAAAACAATTGATGTCTCAGAGAATACACACGTCAAGGAGGGTTACACAAGCGACTTTTAAAAGGCCAACCATGTCAAGGTGTATTAAAAACCGACGTGGTAAGTAATTACAATGTCAAACAATTGGATCCTCGGGACGTAATGAAGGAATTAATCACGTCCGTTATTTTACAATAATCGACGTTGAAAAAATAATCCATGTCGTTTCTTTTCCAGTAAACGCCATCAAAATAATTTTTAACGTCAACCTGTAACAACAGTAGTCGTGGGTAGGATTGGTACGTCAGTATTCAGTAATATTCTGCCATTTAAAAATATTCAGACGTTTGTTTTATAAAAAAAGCTTCGTCTAACTCTATCCAAGGGGCTTCTTTGTATAATTTAAACGACGATTCTTGCAAGAAACAGACGTGGAATATGTTTAAAAAGGCGGTGTTCTCCTATATTGCGCCGTGGATAATCATATAAGCGACAGTTATTCCACATGGGTGTCGTGGTTAAAAAGTTTTACGTCTGTGCTTGTGTGATTATTGAGATGTAATAAATTTTAAACGTCTGTTATGTTGTGTAGGCGACGTCTTTTCTGATTTTAACATCAATTTGTTATTTATTTAACATAGTATAAGTTAACCACGACGGTTTCTAGGTTATACAAGTTTGTATTCCTTCAATTAGGGACGTGGATAATTATCTGTACATCGGTGCTTGTTTTGATCTTCACATATAACACTCTTTAGACATCTCTGTTTTAATAAAATCGTCGTCTAATGTTTTCGAATCTTTCATTTTATACTATACATAAAGTAATTAGACGTCGGTTTGTAATATTGTTTGACGTTGAATGTCTTAACGATGTCGGTTATTAGCCGTCGTTGTTTTATATATCAAAAGATGGCGATTGTCACGGCGGTTTAAAAACCTTCTCTACGATGGTGGATTCCCGTCTTCTATTTCAATTTTTGTAGTAGTGATAATATTCCATCAAAGCTCCAAACACACACTAAGATAAACTAGTGATTAGAAGAATCACATGTTTTCGACAATAGCATGACTCTTAGATTTGCTTCATGACATATGACATAGCAGTACCACTGTGCTTAAGGCATTGACTTCGATTCGACAAACACCTAGGATAGATGGTTATTGAATAAGTAGCTGATTGACTTCGATTCGACAAACACTAAAAGCCAATCATTAACAGTGGTTCTTCGTCATCATCTCTGATTTTATTTAACCCTACATACATAGGTAAAATGTTGCCCGATACATATTAACCTATTATAAAGATACTTTTTAATGAATTTTTTCTTGTAGTTGAGTTATGAAAACAATACAAAGTATTAACATATCGATATCAATAAAACTTTGAAAGAAATGGCAGAAATTGTGAGAAATACATGAAAATATTTAATGAACTAAGACAGGATCAACAAGCGTCTAGATTTGAGAAAGCGAGAGCTCAAATATAAAATAATAAAAAATCCATAAACAATTAAAGATTAAATTATCTATGAATGATATATGATTAATCTCTTTTTGTGCCAGTTTGGCATTGCTTATTTGGGGTAATAAGTGATTTTTTTAAATTTTTTGGGAAGCACAGCCCGTTTGGTAAACTATGAGAAAATCATTTATTGTTAAAAATTGTTGTGAGAGAAAGCTATAAGGGAAAACAGTTAATGAGGTGCTTTCATTTTCTGATTATACAGGAATCAGTTTCAAAGAGGCACTGGGTTTAATGATTATGCAGCAATCATTTTCTAATTATGTGGGAATTAGTACCAACAACACTTTTAACAAAAAGTTTACAAAACACCAAACTGCTTTATCTCACAACTAATCTGACAGCGATTATATTCACAGTACAGCAATGCCAAACTGGCCCATCTCACCTTCCTCGAACCCTGGAGGCTTTCAACATACATGGCGACCAAAGGCAATTTCTACGATTGGTTTTGGCACATGATCCACTTAGAGCTTATATAAGATCAGGGGCGGAGCCTACGAGTGTGGTCCTGCCCCTCCCCCTCCTCATTTTTATATTAAAAAAATATTATATATTAATATTTTTTTATGATACTTCTAATATTTCTAGGGTGTTCTCTTCACGTTTACATATTTTTCCATCTTATAGATCAATTTTCTAAAAATTTAATATAAATATTATTTTGCCAAATTATTAAGTTTCAATTGGGTTGACTCACTTAATTAAGATTGTTAATCTTTCTCTTTTTATTTTTATTTTATTTTTTATCATTTTCTCTTTGCCTATTGTTTGTTAGGGTTTCTAAAAATTTGAATTATTCTCTATTGAGTTCAATGGATCTTTCAAATTTGTAGATAAAAAAAAAAAAAAAAAAAAAAAAAAAAAAAAAAAAAAAAAAGATTAATCATTACATTATGTATTATGTATGATATTTTGGTCTTTTCGGTTACTTTGGAATGTATTGTGAGTTCGGAATTTTTTTATAAATATTTGTAAGAGGCCCCCTCACACATGAAATCATGTCTTTGCCACTGATAAGACCACTAGGGTGTGCCTCATGGACGACCTAGACATAAATGATCATGTGGTTACGTACAACCTGACCAAACCCGAATACCTCCAACCACGAACCCAGTGCCATATTTTTATAAGTTATTAGTCTCTAATAAAGGGTTTATATGTGAAACTCCCTAAACTAAAATATTTTAATTTGTCATAATTAGGGTTGGAAGGTTCTGATATCTTTCAAGTTCTAGATGCTAACAGAAGAAGAAGAACTGAGGAAGAAGAAGATTGGAGAAATAGAAAACAGAGGAATTGAGAGAACAACAAAGAACTTGTATTTCAGATTTCTTTCTCCTTAAAGAGAAATACAATACAGTGAGTCTTTTATTATAGTAATAGTTCAAGCCTTGCTTAGCAACAAAGCAACTACAAAACCTCCTAACTGACTAAAGAATAACCCATGTGGTTATTACAACAACTAACATAACAAATACACGTGATTAATATCACAGCCTTGAAATGTAACATCCCGACCCAATTTTAATCAATTAATTAATCTTCATAAATTTATTTAATTTAATGAATTGGAAATTTACAATTTTGCCCTCAGGGATATGGTTATTTTGGCCAGTTTTTAATCCAGAAGGATTTTGGGGAAATGAATGGCACCATGACGTAGATCGCGTTGAGCTGTGTCTGTAGACACGTAGTAGGCTCAAATTGGAGTTGTAATGAAGAAGTTATGATCTATAGAAGCCTAGTGGCACACGTAAATATTTTAAAGTGTTTTTTTTAAATGGCCAATCAGATCTCTCTCTCTCTCTCTCTCTCCTCTCTCTCTCTCTCTCTCTCTCTCTCTCTCTCCTGATCGTCTCTAACGCGAACCCTCCATTTTCAGCCGTTGCAGGTTTTGGGCCGCCGCTGCCACCTCTGGCCGCCGTTGACGACGGGAGGTCCCAAACAAACCGGCCTGGCTTCCCCATCCTACCCCACCCTTTCCCTGCCCCCGACAACAGCTCCACCTGCTGGAATTTGCTCAAAAATAGCCGGATTTTTCGTAAAGTTTCCGTCGCTCGTTCTGGCTATTCCGACCACCAATTTCTTTGATCTAGGTATGCTTTTTTATCCTCTCAATGTGTTCTAGCTAATGGTTGGGTTGATTCGGATTGATTTTTGAGTTTTGTGGTTCTATTTATCACTTAAAGTTTAACTGATTTTCGGCTCATGATTCCGGCAAGTTCTAATCACTTTCTGGCCGTGATCCAAGAACAAAAGTTGCTCCACTCATTGTCCTAATCATGGTAGGTATAGGTCTTGACCGGTGATTTGGAGATTTTCCGGTCACTGGAATTTCTCTGGGCACCCAAGTGCTACCGGCGCGTGGGCATTGTTTTGATGACCCTTTTGGTCCTAAAATGTTTCCCATGTGGTGCCAAGCAGGATGGTATACTTGGATTTGAATTTGGTTACCGTTTGACTGTCGATTGGATTACGCATATTAGACGTTATCTGAGTTCGATATGTTCAAACCGTTGGATCAACTCCAGTTTCAAATATGTTAATCTAGGCATCTCTAGGATCGTGTAGGAATTTGCGGATCGTTAATCGGAGTCCCGGATGCTCCGATTCAATGACTTAAAATTTGCATAAAACAATAACCGTCCAATCATGCGATCACGAGCGATCCGACCTCTCGATCTTGACCATACTTGCAGGACGTGTTTAGTAAGCTTCATTGAACTCGTAGATACTTTCGGATCGGAAATCGGAGGTCGTGGGCCTCGTAGGCCCGGTTCACCAAGTTTGAGTAGTTTGACTCCTCGGTTGATCGCGAGTCTTCCGAGGTAGTTTCACCCTTCGAGAAGTACTAGAACAAACTTATGAACGAGTCTTGACTGTTATTTGAGTTGTGCTGATTATGTTGGGATTACGAGATTGTTTTATAATATCTTATGGAATTCTTAGATATTAGTTTGATAATTGAAGTTATGGAATGGATGAGCATGGGATACTTGATTGATGGATTGTGAAAGTGAGTCTTAAGTCTCGGCTATGATTATTAGGAAATGTGTGGACGTTTGTTTTTAAGTGTACTTTTTTCTAATATGGAATTTCTTGCATAATGAGTTTTGATTGAAAATTTATTTAATATGGGTTAATGAGGATATGGGATCTCTAAGGGTTATTATTTATCATTATTTAGTATTATTATGATTATTATAAAATTATATGGATTGGTTAAGATCGGGTTATTTTTGAAAATCTATTATTCTAATGGTGGAATATAGTATTTTATGGAAATTAAGTGTAAACAAGTTTTGATTGCTATTTGAATTGTTTTTTCAGTCTTTTTGGAATATATGTTTGAGAGTTTATTTTCTATACTATGAATAAATATTTGGGAAAATTGAATTAAGGGAATATTATTTTTAATAATATTTAGATAAGGGTTATAAACCTCACCATCATATGTACCTTCCCTGGTCACTATATCCACATGTGGCGTTAGATTTTCCGGCATGTGGGCTTCCTTGGTTACTGAATCTGGAATGGATGAATACTTGGAAAATTGTGGATATGGTTTGGGTATGTCGGAACGGGGTGTTACCGTAGACCCTTAGCGGGGTAGTTTGCTGTGCATGCTGATGAGCCTAGTCCCCCGGTTTGATGGCTTGTCCCTGGCCACATGGTTGTTGAGGATTCCTTCGTGTGGTTCAGCCAAACGATTTCCGCATTGGATTGTTTTCCCCGGTACATGATGTGTACTATTATATGTACCTCCCGTTGAATACTAATACTTGGAAACAGTGGACATGGATACTTGGATACATGGAAATGGATCGCTGGTGCGAGCATATGACTTGTCACAGGCACACGAGTATTGAGGATTCTATTGTGCGTGCTAGTTAGCCCAGTCCCCCGAATGGACGCCTTGTCCATGGCCACATGGTTGTTGAGGATTCCTGCATGTGGTCTAGTCAAACGATCCCCGGATTGGATTTTCTGCTCCTGGTTCATGATGATGGTGTGAGGGATGTGTATTAATATATATATATATATATTTACAAATATACATATGTACATGCATATTAAATATATATACATATATGTGGATACGTTTTCAGGTCATGATTCTTAAACGGGTGCTTCGTGAGTACTATGAACAGGTATGAATGTCTGATTTATAGTTTGGAAAGTGTTGTTTGGCAACATACACCTTGGATAGGGTATGGTTGTGGGAATGAACTGATAAAAGGAAAAGCACTTATAAAGTATTCAGTGGATACCTTGTCGAACTTGATGTTGATATTTGAATCTAAATTTAATTGTTGGCTTTACTTTAAATAATCGTATATTATATGAATGTTGAGTGTTGATTTAAGAACTTCGTGTGACTTGATCCCTCACAAAGGGGTACGTATGTAGCCTGGGGTTTAACCTAGGTGTAGCCGCAAAATAAATTGTTTGAACTGTGTTTGTATTATTCCATGTGGGGAAATGAATTTTAGAAAAAGAAAGGTCTTTTGTGATTATTGTTTCGTTAAGTGTTACGAGTGTATGGACTTACAATGAGTTCAAAAGCTAAAACATTTTAGAAAATGTTTGGTTATGAGGCCGGAGGATATTGATGTTAATTGCATGATTTTAACTTGTGCATGCTGCTGGTTGAGATTTTTAAATGTGTTTTTGATAGGTTAAAATTTTTGGGAATGTCCATTTTTCAAAGGAGACTTTGCCGAAATTTCGATAGAAAGTCTCATTTTGTGAGTAAGTGGGCCCAGCATCAATATGATGTTTGAAATACCACGGATTTGTCCCGAGTTTCGAGAAATTCAGGGCGGGTCTTGTCATGACACGTCACTAACTAACCACACGTCAGCTTAACCTCTCTCTCTACTGTTAGCCAAACACTAGAATTATTAACATATATGTGGAGGAAATAAAAATAGATTTCAGATTAATAAACAACAGCAGCTCTACAGAATCTTTATTTATTACATAGCATCCAAACTGATCATTCTGACTCACTCTTAACAAATTCTAAAAGAAATAAATTAAGGCATGCACTGGCTAGCTCACTAGCCAAACACAACCTGCTGGTTTTGCTTAAACACTTTCTTCATCGTTAAATAGATGGTTTACTTCAGCAATCCAGTGTAGATGCTCCAACACACATGGAAACGACAAGCGTATTCTCCTCAGAATTTTTTGGTACGGTGACGTGCTCTCGAACTATCCACCAAACTATCAATCACGTTCCTGAGGCTTTTTGGGATCTTATGCTTGAACCTGCCCCACAACTTCCTTGCCAACCAAATGATAAGACGAATGGTGTGGATTGCAGCTATGATCCCAAGCAATATAACCCAAACCACAATGGATATCTGGGATATCTTTTCATATGATTTGTAAATTTCAGTATTAGGGGACGCTAAGATGAGCGCATGTATATAGGTGAGTGCCATAGAAAGTTTCCGGCAAAGACACATGGCCATTGATAAAAGCCACATAATTACACAATTTCGGAGGGGAAATCCGCCAACAAGCAAAAGGGTGACACTGAGAGAAGCAATATACGAGACGGTATTGAGTGTTACGAACTCGAGGAAGTCTTTTGGGAAGCCGCTGCCTGCCACTGAAGTTCCAGCAGAGCATATGTTATCATGGGTGCAATAAGTAGTACCTCCAGTGCTACTATTTGTATTATTGTCTTGCCAAACACCACCGGGTGGGTCAACTGCAGCTTGGAAAGTTGTGGTTGATATCATGGTTGCCACAATCATCAGCATGAAACGTATCTCTTCCAACCAAGCAATTTATCAGTCTATTTATCAGACACCAAGCTATCGCTACTGCTCTATTCTGAATCTGACCAGCAGCGGTAGTAGTTCTTTTTGTTTCCATAACTGGGCCTGGTTCAACCAAAATTTGATCAAGTTCAGGTAGGCTGCTCGAGTCTCTTGGATTTTGTTCTGAGGAATATAACTGGATCACGCCATTTTCTTCTTCTTTTACAGCAGGTGTCATCTGCACAAGTGGTACCATTAATATATTGAAAACTGTGTTGCTTGAAACCAAGGCATAAGAATCGTGTGTAGGGGTGGATCCATGAAATTTTCAGGGGAGGGCAATATTTAAAACACTAAAAATTCAAAAAATAATTTAGTCAAGCAAATGCTCTTAGAATTTAAACAATATTAATGTCATTCAAAACTAAAACAAATAAGAGTTTTATGTCTATTACTAATTGATTATAGTCTATATGGTATATCAATTAATATATGAACAAAATCTATGTCAATGGACACAATTAGTTTACCAAAATTCATATCAAATATATATGAACAAAATCCATGTCAATTATATAATTAATCTAACGAAAGTCAATATTAATTAATCTAACCAAAATTAATACCAATTAATCTAACCAAAAGCAAGTACATGTGGTTTGGAGGTAACGAGATAAAAGTACACGGGATTACAAATTCGGGGTAATTTTCCATGAATTTTTCGGTGCACATTTGAGTTTTTAATGAATTTTTTAAGTTAGTTCAAATAGAAATTGACATGTGGCGGATTGCTTTTGGACTATTTAAAAAAGGAATCAAATTTGACGCCGAGTCTTTCGTCTTCATCCAACTTCCTCTACAACATCAATTCTTAAAAAACTTGGGGAATATGCTGGTGTAATCACGTTTCACAAATGGTGTGCTGAAATGATCACGTTACAAATTGTGTTATGATATAATCACTTGGGGACGTGAAATGACCAAAGTGCCCTCCGTATAAAAGTAGATGTATCAACCCTTTAGCACCTCTTTTCTGAAAGGCAACTTGTCTGAACTCCTCTTTATCCCCTATCTAGGGTTATCTCGTCTTACAAGTCCAACTCAGAAAAATAAAAGCTTAGCCAAAGCCATGAATACATGTCCTTTAAGTTTTAATCCTTTATATTTTCTTTCCTGAAGAAGAAATAATGGACACAATGGACGAAATCAGAGTTGATTTGCTGCCTTCTGATAGCATTTACTTCATTGTGGGAATCATTAATAAGAAGCTCGATGTGGATCAGTTCCAAAATGTCCATTCTTGCCGTAGTGGGCTATCGGATTCTTGTCTCGGATCGTTGAAACGGGGCATCCAGGTATTTATTTATAACCTTTCTGTTCTGATTACATTTGGACCTTTGCATTTCTGTTTTTATTGAAATCATTTTGTGAGCTTTTCAATATGTGTGTTTCTTTTGGGATTCTTTCAATTGTCTGTTTCTGGGTTGTTGTTCTATTGGTCCTGTTCTCACGTAGATGAGCACTTGCATATGGATTTATAGTGCTGGAGCTAAATAAGATATATTAAAGTATATTAAAGTATATTTGAAATCTTGGAGTGGTCTTCTTTATTAAAAAAGGATCAGTTTTCTTTGTAAAGATTCCCCCTTTGTTTATGTGTTTGTATGTGCATACATACAGCTCTTGATATTTATAAGAGGTTTATTTCAATTCCTGGATAATAAGGTACTTGCTTTCATAGCTGAAATTGCACTAAAAAATCTTGGAGGAAGATTAACTGCTGTAAATCAGGTAAACATGTAACAAGAAATGCAATCCTTGAACCTAGCTAGTAGAATTCTTTTGTGAGTTAGCTTTGATATTTTAAGCAAGAAATTGATGTGGGTTAGTTCAGCAACAAACTATATGGGTTTGGATTGGATCATATCTAACTTTGTCTTCTGCTGATTTTATGGTTAATGATCATTTTTGGAGTGTCCATTTCCTTCAAAAATGGGGTACTAGAAAGTGATGAGTCGATTTTATATTATATATTTAACCTTATTCTTAGCATATTTTGGTTAATATTTTGGAAGAATTTTGATACTTTGAATTATATTTCCAATATAGGTCTTTCGACTTCCTCTGGAGCAAAACATAATCAAATGGACGAATTTTGGAGTAATTCTAGTTGGAGGACGTACATGAGTCACTTAGCTTGATCGTATCAAATATCAGACTTTTCCACCAAGCGATGATTTCCTGGTGAATAAATGAAGGAGCGATGTGCAGTGCTGGAATAGTGACGTTTTGGGCTTGTATTGCGTTTTTGGAGCACAGGATGACCTCGGATGGGTTCACGGCCTTCTGGAGAAGTGTTTGGAATATTTTTATCTTTAAAACAAGCTATCTTGGGCCAGATTTGGAGGAGATTTGAGACCAAAACGTGGCTGGGCAGATTGTGGGCAGATTCTCCTAATCCAATTTGGACTTTATTTCCTAGTCTTTTTTATTTTAACTTAGTTTCCTTGTGGGGATTGGGTAGCTAGGTTTTAGGAGGTATTTAAGCTCCTTTTCACAGAAATTTGAAGGACTCCCTTTTGACTTCTTTTTTGCTTTTGGAGCAATTGCTAGGGTTTTGGATTTTCGCGACTTTCAGGTGTTTTCATTCTTATTCTTCTTAATGATATTTTCTTGGATTTCAATTATGAGTATGTGTAACTAAATCTCTTTTGCTAGGGTGAAGCCTTGAGCCTTAGCATGAATACGTGATTTTTATCTAATTGCTTATGATTGAGTGCATGCATGCTTTGAATTGTTAATCACTGTTTTAAACTATCTGATTGTCTTAATGCCTGATCACCATTAGGATCTTTACAAAAGTAATTAGATGCAATTTTGGTCGGAAGGTTCCCTGAAATTGATGCTAGCTTCTTGTGATTAATAATTGTAATTTCACTTAAGATGAACACCACGTCTTAAGGGTTGCATGGTTTTTTCAAAGGGTTTTCACAAAACTTAATGAGTCTTTCATGTTCAGATTTGATCCAAACGTCCGGATAGGTTGCATGTTAGATATACGTTTTATGTTGGAGGTTCCAAGTAGAATATAAATTAGGAAAACCTAACCTTCAAAGTGGCACGTGCAAATCATAAGTAATTGGTAAAAATTCATAGGATTGCTAGGTGATGGTGGAACTCTAGTGCTTTTATAAATTGATATTCAAAACTTTTTCCTTCAATCGTATTTGTTTTTGTTTAATATTTGTTTTTAGAATCAACGAACTTCATATTCATCTTTCTCTACTTTAAATTTTAGTTAGTTAATTAGAAATTGTTTTCACATAAATTGCTAAATACTCCTTGAGGAGAACGACCTTGCATGAGCATCTATACTACAATAGCCTTGTATTCTTGCAAGTATTTTACGTGATTTTAACCCTGTTTGCACATGTACTAAAATCCTATCAGAAAGCTGGAGGGCTTTAGCATTCATAAGTGATTTACTTAGACAAACTGTGCTTTTGAATACTTATTTAATATAGTAGTAGAGTGCTCATTTGTGTGGTGATTGCAGGACTAGTTCCCTGTGCAATGACCATTTTCAGTCTTTTTCATTCCCAAGTCTCCAAGATGGTTGGTAAGAAATACTTTTCTTTTTCTGTTTGTAGTTATATTGTTCGTGATCTTGATGGTACCGGAAACAAAAGGAAAAACCCTGAAACAAATCCAACGAGACATTAATAAATAGAGAAGTGAAGGAAGAGTTAAAAAAGAAAAGAAATGAAGAGCATTTTTGTGGTCATTCGTTGTCGTTGAAAATTTTGACAGCACAGTGCATCACATTGGTTGATGGAATCTTGAGTGAGGCTTCCAAACCACAAAAATATTGTACTGCTATTGTTTACCCCACAAAATCATTGTCCCTACTTCCTTTTCATTTGTTGCAATGACTGTTTGGCATTGATTGGTTTATTTATTTTGCTTTTGTTTTTGCCTCTGGTACTGTATTCATGTCCTTGCTTGCTGGTTCCCTTTTTGGGGTTTTCAAAGGTGTAGCTTTGGTGGTTTTTCAATGCCACTGCAAGTGCATCTTCTTCTTATTTCTTGTCAAAGTTGATAGGGAGGTACATTGTCTTCTCTATAAGGCTTGACAAGCTGCAGTTTTTCCAAAACGAGGTAAATTCAAATGTCTCCATATCTCTCATTGATCCTAACTTCAAAAATAGGAGTAAGTCATTTATTTTTTCTTCCGGGTGGCTAAAAGAAGAGAGGGACTTTTGAACTACATGTTGTTTCTACGATTGACTCCCACCTTGCCAAACACGTTTATTAATCTTGCTTCACCAATAGTGGATGTACCCTATCATATTTTCTTCCTGGCAACCATAATTGGTCTGATACCAACTGGTTATGTCACTGTTAGGGTATGTGTCTTTCACTTATATGAAAATTTTGGGTTAAATTATGAAGTTCAATTTTGGTCTCAGAACATCACAAGGAATTATCATAACTATACTCAAATCTTGAAGGATTCTATGCTCAAATGACCCAAAATAAAATCACTATGCAAAAACATATACGATTGTTATTTTTTGAATAGAGGAAGATCATTAAACCTTCATCTTAGTCATCTCAATCCACACTGTTTACTCATGCAGAAAAAGATAAAATTGTCTTTAGCAAAATTGTTAGTTTTCTAATTTCAGAAGAGAAAGTATCAATTTTGGGGAATGGTTTTTATTTTGGTTAATTTCACGAAGTGGTTGGAGCTCAAACCACCTGCCACCAACATGTTAAAGTGCTGAGATAGAGTTAGGCCTAATCTATGAAGGACAATTGTATTGGTGATTTATTTGAGTTCTCAAGTGTCATTGGTTGTGCCTATGCATCTCTTACTCTGTTTTTTGCCCTAGGCCGGATTAGCTCTTGGAGAGTTGCGAAAGGAAAATAATTTCCTAAGAAGCCTTTGGCCAGTAACTAATCCACCTTCAAGTCAAGAACATCTTTTACATCCTCAACTTTTACAAAAGCCTCTCCGCCCATTCCTTGCTCAAGGGTATTTTGACGATGTAGGAGTGTAAAACGTGATTCCATTAAGGACGTCGTGTCCTTATTGTAAAATGTTGTAGTGGACGTTTTACTTATGAATATATAGTGGGAATGTGGAGTTGTATTGTCATTGTATTGCTCCCCTATTGCATTTGTATTGTCATCATATTGTCATTGTAGCATTGTGGTATTGTATGGTTATTGCACTTATTTTTGTTTCTTATCACCTGTTTTTTCAAGTTTGTCTTGTGAAGGAACTTATAAGGATATTTTGTAAAAGAAAACGCTTGATTGTGTAAGTTTATTTTGTAAAGAAAAATGCCAGATCATTATTCATTATCATATAAATAAGGTACAACAAGCACCATATATGTATCTCTTCAATATGATTGATTCGTGTTCAGCTATTAATGTAAGAATGTGATTCCATTAAATTGCAAGAATGTGATTCCATTAATGACGTCACGTTCTTTTTATAAATCAAACTCATAGTTGCTCCCTAGTTGCTTCCCCTGTAACAAATTATATTAATTAAGAAAACCAACCAAAAAGCAATACAAAAGCAACACGAAAGTAATGGCACGCAGATTATGAAGTGGTAATAGACATGCAATACAAAAACAATACAATAGCAATAAACAGGCAATAGAGTGACAATAGACAAGCAATAAAAATACAATAAACAAGTAGGGGGATTTTCTTTTTCTTGTGCAATCTGAAAAGAAAAGAGGAAAGAAACAGAAATTGTCAAGACAAAACTGCAGAAAGAAAGAGAAAGTGATTATATCAAACATAGATTATGAACTGATAACGATAGCCACCCCAAGCTAAGGACGGCTCGGCATAAATTAATACAACTTCAGTCAGACTATGGCATTATATATATCCCTTGAAATACAATATACAAATTGCTGGCTCAAAGAAGAGTAACAAAATTTTGATTCCAAATCCAGCATTTCAGTACAATGCTAGAGGAAGTTGCAACAAATTGATGACTATAAGTCTGCATCCATCTTGAAGATGAAATTCTTTCCACCATCTTGGAGGCCTGACATAATGCTCTTTGATAGTCACCCACCCTTCTCTAAAAAAAGTTCGTCTTTCCTCTGCAGGAAAAAAGAAAGAAAAACCAAGATCAAGATCAATTGTCCTCCAAAAATATCGCTTAATTCTGAAGGAACAAAACTCTGTGTCCTGGTTACTGCAGATGTATTCTTAGGGCCAACCGTCTCCCATTCATCTTCTTCTGCAGAAGATACTAGAGATGATTTGAGGCCATTAATACTCGAGGGCTGTCCTTCAAGCTTAAATAATTCATCATGCATTAGATCCATAATGAAGCTAAGGAACTCCTGAGCATCTTCTTGTCTGAAAATCAAAAATAGTTTCACTAGGCAACTTAAAATAGAAAGTAGAATATAGACATGCTGCCATAAATATTTACACTAGACAGAGAAGAAACTAAACAATACAAATTTAACCATTTCGTAATTACTCTTGAAGTGTTCTAGGTTTCTTCTTTCCTTTGTCCATGAAAATATTAGCGAACTCAGAATAATACAGAAGATTGTTAACCTATTTGTTACAACATTTTACCGATCACAAGTTAACTTCTAAAATATCTCAGTCAAACCCATTATTTCACATTAAATGGGTTGCAACAGGTGTAATAAACCACAAATAGATAAATAAATTGGAAAAAAGTGTAGCATGTTTTCAGAAAATAAACAATTTAAGCGGAGACACTGTAAATGTAGGCATTTTAGTCATGAGCTATGTCAGGCAGTGGCACTTTTTCAAGCCATCAGACAAATTGTAAAGCATGAGAATTATCAATCAAGCCTAATCATACTAAAGGAATACCATTATCGATCAATATAAGATTTATGAGAATCACTCGTTTGGCGCACAGAACTGAATCAAATTCAAATGGACAACATATTAGTTAAGTGATTAGCCAGAAAAAGAACAAGCATTAGGCAAGGTAGCTTCCTATTTTCTGAGATCAGCAGTCTATACAAATTTTGTTATTTGCAAATAGCAATTCTATTAAAACCACGGAAATGCAAAGCAATCGAATAAACAAAAGAAACCTTAGGCACTTTGCGAGTTCTCAATTCTTGTAGAAACTGAACAAAAGGAGAACAGATGACAATCTTATATGACAAATAGCAAATTGAGGCACTTCGTCATCCATAGATCAAAATCAATCAGACCCATAGAAGTTTCATCCAAGCACGAAGTAATTCACAGTTAAAATACAGAAATTTTCAATCTCTCTAATTACTAAACTCCACAAAATCAGCCACAGGTTAGTGAAATTATCCTTCTCAAATGAAAACCATACAAAAACACAAATAGTCAATAACAAATATAAAGCCCACCCTCACTCGTTTTGTGCACATAACCAAATTGGAAATCCTAGCAACACCTACAGAATATCAAGAATTTTGTCTGTGACAGGATTGAGAAGGAGAAGGAAGTATGTAAAAAAAGTCAGAATCGAAACCAAGATTTATGGTTTTTTGAGGACCTGAAGGAGCAGAGGAGAAGAGAAAGACGTCGATTCAAGACATGGAAAGAGAGGGAACTGAGACAAAATGTTTAAGGGAGAGAGCATTTAACGAAGAAACCCTCTCTTTCACCGTCAAGAACCCCCTCACCAAACCCTAACATTGACTGCAGAGAGAGGACGAGAGAGTGCTGCTTAGGTTTTCGCGACAGAGGGAGAAATAGAGTGGTGGTGGTCGATGGAGAGAGAAAGCGCCGAGAGAGGAAGAGAGAACCGTGACAGAGAGCTGAGAAAGAGAGAGAAGCCAGAAGCGTTAGGTCGGCAATCAATGGCCAATAACTCCCCAATAGATATGTTTTTATATGGAGGGCACTTTGGTCATTTCACGTCTCCAAGTGATTATATTATAACACAATTTGCGACGTGATCATTTCAGAACACCATTTGTGAAACGTGATTACACCAACTTATTCCCCAAAAAACTTCTAAAATTCATAACTTTGATTCTGGAGTTCCGATTGATGAACTGTTTTCTCCTACATGCTCATGAGATTGAGTCCAACAATTTAAGGTAAATATTTATAAATATAAAAAAGGGGTACTAATTTACCTATATTTTGTAGGTATAAGAATTTACTAAGAACTAATTATCCATAGGGAGCAAAAACACATTCTTTCCATTTGAAAAAAATTAATTAAAACCTGAAATTTTTTATATAAAAATTATTTGACCAATATTATTTTAAAATTTAAAACAGTAAATGATCAAGTTGTCAAATTGGGAAACATTCCAAAGAGTACCTACTTATATTTCATTTTAAAAAAAGAGAGGAAAAACTAACTTAAAAATCCCTAAATCTGTGCAAAATTGAAACACCATTAATGTGCATATTGGTAAACACTAATTAGGGGTATTTTTGTAATTTGAAAAAGTACAATAAATTAGATTAGAGCTTAGGTAGCTTAGGGCAAAAAAAAACTTAGGTACCTTGAGGGGTTGGATCCTAGTTATCGGATTTACTTATAAAAATTGGGTTTTATTTATAAAAAAATAAAATGATAGGTTGTAGATAAGACATAATTAGTTTGAAGGGGAAAAGTCATATTTACTATAATAAAAAAACCAAAAACAAGAATTATTATTTCAATGTACGAACCCTTTTTTTAGCGGCCTAGAATTGCAGCAAACAACGGGGACTTGCCTTGAATTTTTGTGTTCTTCTCAACTGCTTTTTCTTTTATTAGCTTCACTATCTCAACAAGCCCTTTTTCAGTGGCTAGGTACAGAGGGGACTTTTGTTCCTTATTAGTGTAAAGTGAAACGGCAGGATCAGCCTCTATCAAACACTTGGCTACTGATTGGTGACCTCGAATCAGAGACTCGTGTAGGGTAGTGTTTTCCTCATTATTTTTCATCCTCAGCAAGGTCAATACATCACCATTATTTTCAATGTCTGTTATTCCCCGTGCTTTGTGGAGAAGAGTGTTTGTTGTCGTATCTATATCCCCTGATTTGGCCGCAATGTGGAGCGCGGTGTCGCCTTCAAAGTTTTTCTCTAACAAAAGGGGCTTGTGTTGTTGTAAGATCTCGGCTGCTAGTTCGGCATGGCTAGAGCTCACAGCTATGTGAACAAATGTGTTATTTTGGGGGCCCCGTCGAGACAGCAACTGAACGCTAGCATTGGGATCCTAAAGCTTCTTTTCAATAGTGTCGTGAAATCTATTTGTGTTGCCATGAGTAGCATAGCTGTACAGCAGCTGGTATAAGCGTAAGTTATCAGCATATATCCATATGTTTGTTCAAAATCCTGTGTTCGATGATGCGCTTCCATTTCCTGTGATGGTAGTTCCGTTGCAGTCTGTACCTCCCTATTAGTTAACGGCTCCATATATATATGGACTTCAACGTTGCTTTAGATTCCGATCTGCACAACGTTGCGGAGATCGATTAATGCCCTCTTAATTACATCAACTTAACTATATATATATGTGTGTAAACTTAATATTGGGTAAAACCATAAGAACCGAATCCATGACCCAAGATCTTGAACTTCATGATTTTCACAATAACATTAGGCGGAAATTCAATTAGACTTAAATTACATACATACCTTGAATGATTAGTCTTCTACCATATCAAGATATTTGTCTTGAGAGATCCGTAGGCAAGCCGTCAGTGTGGAGGAAATAGATTTCTCTCTCTAGCCTTTTTCACGTTTCGAAAACCCTAGCACGCGTCTTCATCAACGTACACATAAGATGCGTAGTGCACTATTATAGGTAGAGAGTGGACCCGTTTCCTAGTAAAGCCCATAATCAATTACCACCCATCATGGTAATAAAATAGGAAACTACTTCTCTTTATTTGACCAATGTAATTATTCTAAATAATATTTATTAAACCAATTAAACAATTTATTTACCACATAAGTCACTTCATGTGGGCCACATAGAATATTTATAAAATATTCTTACATTCTCCCACTTGGCCCATATGATAAATTTACTTTATAGTTCAATAAATAAACATTAGGTGCGCAATACATTCAGAATAATCTTCACTTCCATATGGTCGACATAAATACCGCATTTAAGAAATTGTCTAATGCGAGTCATGGTGGTTATGCATCAATAAGCGATACAATCCCTTCCATGTACCACAACATTAGCAAATCACCTAAAACAGTCATTAAGTGAGAAGTATCATAAAAGGTCCAATAATGTCTTTGTCAGAGACGACTCCTGTAATCATTCATCCAATCTTATTCATGTATACATATAAGGGAAAACAGGATATAACATAAACATATTCAATTATTGAGCTCATAGTGTCAAAATAAATAAACTATCATTATGCAAACCACAACATCATACATACTATCATGGTTTATGACCAAGAACAGTCCTCTCAATATAATTATTAATGTCTTTGGCCAGAACCTTTCACTTGGTTTGCAAGCATAAGTTTTGTCTTTATAGACACTCTTTGTTTCTGAACCTCCTTAATGACAAGGTATTTAACTCCACTATGTTTAGCACTCTTAGAACACTTGTCATTCTTGGAGAAAAGGACAATTGCGGTATCAAGCGGCGTGGCAATAAAACATAAACACCAAGTCCTAAGATTAAAACCCGCAACTTCAATTCATCAACTATGGCCTCAAAGCAAACCATATATGCATAATGAATTCTCATTGTACTGTTAATGTTCCAATTCACTCTTATGGGCATTGCATAATGCTAAACTTTTCCCCTTCCTGAATTGGAGCAGCATTAATGGATAAACATTATTCCATATCATGTCTCTTTAGAACACTTACAATATATGCTTAATGAGACAAACTTAACAATTCATGTATCCATTCTAGAATATTTCAATTCCAATCACAAAAATTGTCTCATCCATATATTTCATTCAAGGTTCTTAGAGAAAAGCTTAATGGTTTCAACAATAAATATCCAAAGTGAGAAATATAGACTTACTCCCACTGACCTTGAGATACATACAACAATTAATAGTGCTTTCATAAAAAATTAAAAATTAAAAATATTATGATATTATTAAACTTTGCATACCATAATAATTGCTAAATTTTTAATTTTATACAGTGAATTCTTCAGGTTACAAAGCATGTGTTTCTCTCAATAAAAGAAAAGTCTTCAGGTTGATTCATGCAGACTTCTCTATTAAACACTCATCTAATCTTTTATCTTTCACATCCATACAGTGTAACTCTAATTCATAATGAGTTACGAATACCACTGTATGATTCCAAGTGAGTCATTCCTAGAAACAAGTGGGAATGTCACTTTATAACATATGCCGTCTTTCTTAGTAAAATCGTTGGCCAATAGTGTGTCTTTATATCCATCTATGTTGCCATTGGAGTTGTATGTATTCATGAAGACACTCTTACACACAACTCGTCCTTTGCAGGTAAATCAATGAAATCACAAACTTCATTATGCCAAATTGATTTCAACTCATCATTCATGGCATAAATCTATTTAGTAGAATCAATACATGTTTAACGACATGTGAAAATAAAATCAAAATCTTACTTAACACTTACAGTCAGATTCTTGTAGATATACCAAATAATCACTTAGAGTAGCAGATACCAACATGCTTAATGTCTTGATATCAGCTTAATGCTATTCTTTGTGGGTCTCTACTACATTTTCACTGGTGAAGCAGTCATAATGGAGTGATTAGTTATTCATTAATTTGTTGGTCATTGTTGTTAAAACTGTTCACAACTGTAGGAACAACAATTTCATTATGAAGTATGCATGCAAAAATTTGCACACTAACTTCTCATAAAACCAATTTTTTTGGTTATCAACTCCTACTAATTTCACCATTTAAAATGAAACTGACGTTACTGATTTCAATAATCTCATACCCTGGTTAGGACAACACAATCTATACCATTTGTACTTTTCTAGGTAACCAATAAGGTTATCAGAAAACATTCTGAAGGTCCAATCCCTTCTCATGTGAACATTTATTCTTACTCCCACTAAGTAACCCAAAACATCATGGTGCCTCAAACAGGATTTCCTTACTTTCCGCCATTCAAATAATTTCTTATTTGAAACTACTCTAATAGGAACCCAATTAGCATAATAGTTGTAGTAAGAACATGTATTCATAATGGTATAGGTAATAATAAATTACTTCACATACCCCTAACCCAGAAGCAGAGCATTATAAGTTGAACACATGTTTTATAAATAATTTCAATTAGCTAAAAAATTTTTATGGCATCTTTCTTGGTGTATTTAAATTGTTTTCCTTAATACAATCCACTTACACACCAATAAGAGATCAATAAAACATAGGTTCAGAAGAACCTCATTCCTTATTGATCCCTTAGTTCTTTCTCTGAACACATTACCAGTCATTTATGCCATAAGAACATTAAATTTTAATTTTTCAAATAGCAGTCACTTCTAAATCAATCATGCGGAGTATCAAAAAACGTTTAAAGAAAAATGTTATCATACTTTAATTTCATAAATCATTAATAGAATACCACAATTAACAAAATAGGCATTCTTTAAGAGACTGAAACAGTCATCACGAACTTTAAAGGATAAAACATTATTGCCAAATTCCAAACAAAATTCCAACTAGATTTGAAACGGTAAGAACATAATACGCTTTCAATAAATCTAAATCATGGCCATTAAATTGAATATATAATTCCAAAAAGTGGAATCAAAAGCAACTTTGCATTGAACTATTAGAAACATGAATTTTAGCACATAATTTAATCCATCAAGCATCATAAGAAAATACATCTAAAAATTGATTCGAAACACATAAAAGCGGAAGACTTATCTTTCTTTTCGAATTGTATTGTGTAAATGCTTTGCCTTCTTCATAAGTAAAATTGATTTATCTTCTTCATCCAAAAGACTTCATTTTGCCGCTAAGTTAGTCTGCTCAATAATGCACTCGTTCATGCTTCACATACCATCAAATTTCATGATGGTAAGGTCAGCCAATATTGTCCATGTAATGGACTTGTTAGCAATTCTCAAGAATTCTGTAGCATTATTCACATTAATGGGGCATAGCCTTAATTTATATTACAATGTCTATTTATTCGCATAAACATAAAGCTCAATATGTTTGATCTTTTATAGGCTCTTTAATCCTCAATGCTTTACCATAATAGCAATGAGTTTCTCATTTTGAAATGCCTAATCAAGACCTGGAACACTTTGGTGATACTAGACTTGTTCACAACAAAATGAGAAATTAAATCTAAACTAGATCAAACATAAGAGTGAAGCGAACCTGAAAGCGACATTGCAACATAATTTGTAATATGCTCAGAATACTAATGCTTCGAGTGACAAACACGTACAAACATATATAAGACTTATATAGTCTGACCATCAATAGACATATCATCATAACTCTCCTTTGGGATAAATTATGACAGTACCAATAATTAACAATTATGATGCATCTATTTTACATTATTGGTAAATGTATATTCCTAGTTAGAAAAGCTTTGATATCTTTGGATATCCAAAACAAATCTAAATAAAACATATACAAGTTACCTCATTTATATCACCAACCATATGAATAGTGGATCCACCTTTGGGTGATCCGTATATCTTATGAATGATGAAAATCAATATACCCATGATATTCGAACCTTGAAAACATTATAAGATTCAACCTCATTTATATGCATCCTTAAATCACAAGTAATTGATTAATTATCATTTAATTTGATATTCAAGGAACGTTCTAGCTTGGCCACTTTGGTGACTAACAAACCATTCATAATATGAACGTCAAATTAAATTAACAACTGTATTAGTTAATCAATTACATAAGATTAACTAATACACTTTAATGATTAATCAATCATTAGATTAATTAATTTGATATTCAAGGAACGTTCTAGCTTGGCCACTTTGGTGACTAACAAACTATTCATAATATGAATGTCAAATTAAATTAACAGCTGTAATAGTTAATAGATTACATAGGATCAATTAATACACTTTAATGGTTAACTGATCATTATATTAACCGATAAATATATGACCTTTTAACACAGTAGTGGGCAATAGACCTTTAGATTGCCTCGCTTCATAAGACAATGTACAGTGACAATGAAATACAATATGCTTACATTTATTTGTTTTAAATAACTTTAATTCACTGTACATGTCTACACCAGGATCATTCCATGAGTTCATAAGTGGTCATACATTTAATACATCATCCTATTACAAATTTCATTTTATATAATTGCAATCTTAATTTGGTGTAAATATTATGCAATTTTCCCAAAACTAGTATTGCATAAAGAAACAGTACTCCATTCTGTATGTACTGGTCTGATAGCCAATTCAT